GGGGATGTTCCCCGCCGCAGGAAGGCGCCCACGCCCGCTTCTCCCGGAGAGGGGGGAGGCCGAGGGCGGAGCCGGGCATCGGATGCTGAGAGGCGGCGTGAGGCCCGGACAGGTGCCCGGTCAGCGGGGACATCCCTTCCCCGCCGCGGTGGAGACCCTGGGGCCGGGGTAACCGCAGCCCCCCCAGCCGCGCCGGTGGCGGTACGAACGGCTGAAAAAGGTGGAAGGCGGCCAGGAGAGAGCCTGCGGCTCCGAGACCCCCGCGCCCTGCCGGGGGGTGGTCCCTGCAGAGGTTGCCTCTCCCAGGAGCCAACACCGGGCACCTCCGTCTCCCCCGGGAGAGCAGGGGGGGCTCCCGGCTGCTGCCCTCCCTGCCCGGCCGCTTTGTCACTGGGACGACGGCCGAGCGCTGGCAAATTCAAGGGAAAAGGACATTTCGTTCTGAGGGGGAAACGCATCTCAAGTTCATCTGTAGGAAAAGTAAATTTCCTACAGTAAATTCCACACACGCCCCCCGTGGCACAGGGGTTGGAACCCGGTGATCTTTAAGGTCCCTTCCAACTCTCACCATTCTATGATTAAATTAAAAGCAGTTAAAAAGCTGTATTACATTTTGTCCTCTATGAACATATTAAGATTATACGTACTCATAACATATTTCATAACACTGACCTTAAATTGCAGATTTTAGCACAAAAGCTAAATTAATTGAAATAGTAGATTAATTGCTGTCCTGCAGCAAAGGAAAAGAAGCTCACGTTATGCTTTCCAGAAGCCATTTTGGATTAGAAGTTGGCCAGAGGCCTGAACTGAAACTCAAGGTCTCCCATGTTTCCTTGATTTTTTCATTGAAATCGCATCACAGCATAAATAAAGCATGGGCTCCAATCCAGAACCCACTGGGATCAATAAAAACTGCTCCTAGTCCCTTGCATCTGGGTGTTTTGTACATAAATAATTTATAAAAGCATCTGCTTTGTTCTTCTATTTATGGAATAACCAAAACATACTACTCATTTTTATCCTACAGGTGAGGAAAGCTTAATTCTCCTTGATGGAAGACATGAGTTTCCGTTCAGCTTTCAGCTCCCTCAAGAGTAAGTTAAATAATCCAACCTGAAGGGATTGTGCTGGACGCTGCTTGTTGTGGAACAAGAACTTAATGTAATTTTGCTCAGTGGGGTTTTTTTTTTTGTATCAAACTGATAGGTCAGCTTTATATATTTGTCTTAATCAGCCACCACATAGACGGGCCATGTTTGCGTCCGTTCCCCTAGGGCACTGAGAGCACAAGCTGTAAATTGGTAAACATTTATGTACACAGGAAGCTTTGGTGAATTACAAACTGAGGGTAATGCTTCTGTGACTGCTTGTTTCAGACCTCTGGTGACCTCTTTTACTGGGAAGTATGGCAGTATTCAGTACTATGTGAAAGCAATTCTGGAGAGGCCTGCAGCGCCCGATCAGAGCGTACAGACTGAGCTTCAGGTCATTAGCCATATCGACGTCAGCTCACCAGCTTTACTGGTAAGAGGGTCCTCTGCTCCTCCTCCCCCCCCCTTTAAAGCCAGCTGCAAAAAAATCCTTTCCAAGCAGCATTCACATCCAGCCATAACCATTTCCATGTTATTCTGGAGTGTCATTTTCTGACTTCTGAAAGCATATAAGCTCCCTAAGCTTTTCTCTATAAATAGATGATCTTAGGTTGTGTGAATAGCAAACAGAGTGGCTTTTTTTAATACCATTGATTACATCCCTGCTGGCAGAGACGTTCTTGCCAAAAAGTTATGCAGGCTTCAGATGCATAAATAAGGCTTAATAATAATAATGCACAAGCGTAAAGTAGTTACTCTTACCAGAGCAACTACATTCACAGGGCTGCAGTGTCCTAAACTCTACAATAATAGTAGGTTGAGGAACAGTAATTATAGAAGAGTATTAATCATGCCCAGCCTGTCATTTATGCTCTGGCCATTATGTTACGTATCCTTCCATTTTGCATGTCGTTTTCTAACATTAAGTGCGTGCACGCAGCTGCTTCCGAGATCTTTTCAGTTATTTCCTTATGACAGATTTGGCCACATTAAAGCATTGAGTTTCTAATAATCGCTAGAAATACTGTAGAGTAATAAGAAAGATCAGGCATTAAGTAATGAGAAAATAGGCAAGATGGAAGCTAATGAGCTGGCTTCTTTTATCTCAACCCATATTATGAAAATAATATAAAATTATACCTTGCACTTTCATGATAGCAACTGGATCTAAATGGTTATTCATTTAAATATGAATGAGTAATTTCTATTTTATTTAAAATGCTAGGATAATTTTAACATCTCATCATGATGTGAACGTAGCTAAGAGATGTTTTGAGCAGGGTTTTTTTCCTCATTATATGCTTAAATTTTAATCTTTCTGTCCAGAGAGGACTTAAAAAAGTATTTTGGCAGTGACATCTGTAAGCAGAACGTAGTCTTTATATCCAACAATGTATCTTGGGACAGAGTGAACCACAGGTTATTGCACAGGAGAGGGTTCTGGGGCACGTGAAGTAGGTGGTGCCTATCTTAAAGGGATTCCAAGGCTACCACCAAAAACTGCAAAACACCACAAATTTTAGACTTCATGATTACATTGACTGGGCTACTCTTTTTAAGTAGCTTCAATCCTAGCTGGGACCCTTGACATGTGTACCTGTAAGTTTGATGTAAATTTTACCAACAGTGTAAATGTCCTTTATTATGACAGTCCTCCATGAATAATTAAGGTGGTGTTTGTCATAAGCTTAAATTTTTGGGGGGTTGTGTGGCTTGCAAGTTATGAAGATGCATCACCTTTTAGCCCAGTGTGTATACATTTATGCTTTCTCATGAAGGATACAGCAGCTTACCTGCTTAACTATTAGTTGCTCGCAGATGAAATGACTTCTGCATTCTTCTGCACTGAGGAACACGGGCATAAATACCGCAGTACTCCATCACACCTGGAAAAAAGTAACACCTATTAAATTTGTTAAATCAATCTTTTTGAAGACAGGTTACATTCAAGTGCAGATTGATCTCTGTTACCTCCTTGATATGGTCTAAATGCAGACTGGGATTTTAAAACAGCCAGATGTTCAGACAGATAAACTTTGGTTCCATTTTACCTGCTGACAAAACTCCAGGTCCATTGAGCAGTACAGTGATTTGAATCAAGTGGATTTTAGAGCTACATTGCCATGACTGATACGTGTAACTTTAAACTGCAAGTGATTGATAGCTTTATGCCATAAAATGAAAAATACTCTATATTTTATAGACACCTGTTCTAAGAAGTCAGGAGAAGATGGTTGGCTGTTGGTTTTTCACCTCTGGGCCAGTGTCTCTCAGTGCCAAAATTGAGAGGAAGGGATACTGTAATGGTAAGAGTAGTTATCTTCAAAATGTGAATATTAAACATCTAATAGGGTTTTTTTTTAAATCTCTGTGAAGCCCAGACTTTATAGTTGAATTAGTAGGTAGTAAATTGAGATCTGTATGAACTTGCTTTAACAAAAATCATCTTGCCTTGCCCCTCACTCCCCCCTTGGAAATAAAAATTGAAAGGAAGTCCTGTCAGTCAGTAATACTATGGAAAAGCGGAATAGTTCCATTTAGTAGGTAGTAAATTGAGATCTGTATGAACTTGCTTTAACAAAAATCATCTTGCCTTGCCCCTCACTCCCCCCTTGGAAATAAAAATTGAAAGGAAGTCCTGTCAGTCAGTAATACTATGGAAAAGCCACGTACATTTGAGTGTAAAGAACAACAAAATGCTTTTATTTGAGATAAAATACTTAATTGGGGATATAATCAGGCTTTTATGTCCTGCTTGTGTAGGTTTATGCTTCTGTAAGAATGAGCTTTAGCAGCTTCTTTGTTGCCTTGATAACATTAGATACATCGAGGAAATAAAATACAACATTCCGGAATTCAGTTAGTACTATATAAAAGGAAGATTGATGCATAATTTGCAAATAAAGTTTTTATAGCTTGTTCATATTACACTTAATGTTTCAGAATGAATCATTGTTTATACATAAAATGTAGTAGGTGGCTATAATTCTGCCTGGATACCACTCTGAAAATCAAAAAAAATTTAGCTTGAGGAAACTAACGAGTATTGTTCTCCTAACACTGTGGTGATGTACGTGCTGCGTAACATGCTTTGATACTCCCAGAGGAAAGTTGGTTAAATACAAATTATTCATTGAACTTTTTCTGTCTTTAAGGGGAAGCCATACCAATCTATGCAGAAATTGAGAACTGCTCTTCTCGTTTGATCGTTCCAAAAGCTGCCATTTTCCAAACACAAACGTACCTGGCCAGTGGGAAGACCAAAACCTTCCGTCAGATGGTTGCCAATGTCCGAGGAAACCACATTGCCTCTGGGAGTACAGATACCTGGAATGGGAAAACTCTGAAAATCCCACCTGTATCCCCCTCTATACTTGACTGCTGTATTATTAGAGTAGAATATTCATTAGCTGTAAGTATGGGGTTTTATTACAGATGTGCCTACTCTTGAATGCTACATGGAGTTGGGAACAGAAGAATTTTCTGTACTGAGCAGCTATTAGATTTTGAATTTGGGAACAACAATAGATATAAATAAATACCATACACCATATAGCTGAGACTGAAGATCATGAAGAGATTCTGAAATGGAAAGACAGGAATAATGGGGAGAATGGAAGAATGTTTCTGAGGAAGCAGCAGCTTAGTTTTGGACCTGCAGAGGTTATTAGGGGAAAGTAGTTCAAGCTGAACAGGCTCCTCTAGTGATTCTTTACAGAAATGGGAAGATAGGACTGAAAATCAAGTGCATAATTATTTTTGTCAACCTCCTTTGTCCTAGAGACAAGGTACAGAAAGAAGGAAATTGCTGGAAAATAAGGAAAGCTGCAAGAGTGTTAGCTAAACATATCTGGAATGAGAAAACTCCTAATTTTTTAAACGATCTGCAGTATGGGGAGTAGGGTAGCTTTTAGGAGCAGCAATTCAGTGGGTCTTATGATGGTTTTTGTTTTCTTTTATTTGGGGGTTGTCGCATAGGTGTATATCCATATTCCTGGTGCTAAGAAATTGATGATTGAGATGCCTCTGGTGATTGGCACTATTCCATGTATTGGATTTTCAAGCAGAAACTCCAGCATTACCAGCCAGTTCAGTATGGATATGAGCTGGCTGGCACTGACCATGCCCGAACACCCTGAAGGTAATCCATATTGAACTCTCTAACACAGCACAGCACAGCACTGCCTGTCACAGGGGGACAGTGGTGCCAGTTTAAGGGCACTACGAGGGATGTGGGCCATTAAAGTATGACTCATGAGAAGCGAGGCACATAAATGTCAAGATCCAGAAGGATTGGTAAAGACAGCCTGACTCCAGCCTTTTTTAAGTCTCTCTTTACACTTTCAGCTGAATCTTGAAATAACTAACTTCTGATAGTGAGATTCTGTTTTGGAGGTAGACACCTTAAAGTTAATCATTACTTGATACAACACAGATGTGTTGCTGGAGTAGCCCAAAAAGCACCTGTAGTGTTCCTGCTGAGTCACCTGAGCTTAATAAAAACATAATTCTAGTAACAGTATTTATGAACCTGGTGCACTTCAGACAATATAACAATTGTACAATATTTAATAAATACAATCTTCATGGTCTTGGATACTGTAATAGAGATTTCTTGCTGTGAGTGAATAGTTTTAAATTTGACAGTAGCATCTTTCTTGTTTCAGCACCACCAAATTACGCTGATATAGTGTCTGAGGAAGAGTTCTCCAGACATGTTCCTGCTTATCCACTACCAATTGACTGTGAGGAACAATTGTGTTGTCCTGTCTTTGCTTACATACAAGAGTTCCGGTTTCAGCCTCCACCTCTTTATTCAGAGGTAAAAAAATAAACAGCAGGTGGTATTTTTATTGTCAGATGGCAAACACCACCCCCCTCCCAAGTACAGAAATGCAAGAATTATAGGCGGTAATTGTTGCCTTTCTTCTCTCTAGATTGATCCACATCCAACTGATGTAGAAGAAGTTCAGCCTGTTTCGTTCATGCTCTGAAGAGGATTTGTAACGAGCATCATTGTGATGAATGTCTTAATCTTTCTGCTGCTTAAGCTGATAGTGCAGCTAAAAAGGAAACAGTTTTCTTTTTCAAAACTTAAGGTTGTGTACAAGAGAGGCAAAGGAAAATGAAGAGGGAGGTATGAGCACGTTTGGTGATGGAAGAGAATCTGCTGGATTAGTCTGCACAGAGGATATTGTGGGAGCAGCTGCTTGAGAAGTACCTGGAAGTGCTGAATGCTTCTAAAAAGTGGATATACTACATAAAGTACAAGGAGATGCGTAAGGGTCTTCTGAAGAAAAAATAATTTATATTTTGTTTGGAACACTCCGGAAGAATTTACGTAATTATGTTGATGTTGAGAACTTCTGTGGTAGAACTTGCGTAGTAGAACAGAATGTGGGGTAAGAAAACATTTCCAAAAGATTCCAGTGTTCAAGGGGCTTCAGTTCTGCGCTGTCTGCATCCAAGAAAGGAACACTACGAAAACGTGGAGTGAAGTCTTCACACTACCATAACTCTCTATTTCATGAGAACCTGCCCTTCTAACAACTGCCAAGTGGTACTATTTCATCATTCATAATGATTCTAAAGACATCATGGATGAAAGAATAGCTATTACGCAATATCATGAAGGCAACCATTTACTGAATGAAAGACACAAGTATGTAAAAGAAAATTGAACTTTGATAAGAGCTTATGCACTATGCTTTCTTTCAAGGGATTTCTTAAGGGAATTATTCTAGCCTCTTCTACTGTGAGTTCTTTTTCTGCATCTTAAGCCTATGGATAGCATGATAATGGGAAGCATGGCAAGGGAGAAGCCTTTTGCCAGCAGCAGGTGTACTTAGCAAAATGGACAATACTTATTTATTCAGAAGCCTTTATAAGCCTACCTCTGTTTTGGATATTTACTTACGGTCAGATTTGAGACCAAAAAAAAAAGTCTTGTTAAAGCTCCAGTATACTTCAAGGTTCTAAAAGGGACCCTAAATGGTTTCTGTGGTTAGTGAATGAGATAGGAGGCGTAGGGAGAGGTGTAAATATACCCAGAATAGACATAGCTTATAACTGAAGTGAAAGCAGACATCGGGGGAGCAAAATCCTCTGATAATGGCACAAAGCTTTTCATTACTCCTGCATTTTTGTCTAGAGATCTGTTGTCAGGGGCTGCACTGGTCATTTGCTATCCAGACTATTTTTTGTTTGTGTGTTTCCTTGTTTGTTTTTGCTGTTTAACTTTGTTTTGGTGCAATATTTTAATGTTTTCTTCCTCAGGTCATTTAGAACAGAGTTGTTTGCTGCTAAGAATTGAAGGCACAGCATTATACTTGGGCCCTTCTGCTGCCTTCATTTAAAGTAGAATGTTTGCTTCCTGCCAAGCATCAATTGGAATCAGTCAGCCACCATCAAAAAATTAATTACAGGAGAAGAAACACGGCATTCTCAATATGCACGTTTACAGTTGAGTCTCTAAACTACAGGGGATTTCAAACTACTAGAACTATTCCATATGTCTTACAGAAGGGTTTGGGGTTAACCCGGTGCTTCACATGGTAAAACATTGTACTTTCTGAGAACTACAAGAACAGTAACTGAGTTTCCTTCATTTCATCGATAACTGCAGTTTAAAAAAAAAATTAAATTGTTTTTTATGAGATCTGTCTTCATTTAAGAAGCAGGGGGTTTTCTACAGGCATACACGGATATATATTTTTAGTCTTCTTTTAGTACAACTTCCTTACATTGTCTGATTTCTAGCACTTCACCTCAAGTTACTTTTACATCAGTGTGAGACAAACCGATTGAGATTCACGTTTCCAAACTGCAGTTACTTTTTTCATTTGCAACTTTAAGTATCATCTTCTATAGCAAATGCAGCTTTAACCAAAATTTGAGTGCATGTTTTTGAAAGGACATTCTAAAAATAAGTATTTATCTGCAAGTCTCGAGATGTAGCTCTCATGCCTTTTTTTTTTTTTTTTTTTTAAGGGATGGCGCAGAGCCGAGGCATGAGCAGGTGCTGCAGGATCTGAGCTGCACTGTCAGACTCTTTAATGTGACCTTGAACTACCAACCGCAAGTACAGACCAGAATATGCTGGAGCGTGCTCCACAAAGGAATATTCACAGAAGACTCAGATCAGGTCTTAAGATTGTATTCACCATCATTTTTTTTTTTTTTTTTATTTAAGTGATGGCGTGTGCCCATGCAATCAATGCAGGATTTTCATTCACATCACCTGGAAAGGGAACAAGTGTATTTTCCTTAAGCAGATACCATTATAGTTACCTGAAAAGTAATGTGGCTGTGTATTAACTTGCATGTTAATAATTCAAAATATTAGCTTAAAAAGAACATTAGGTGCTTTTTTTGGACTGTAATACCTGATAGGTGATGTGTGCTACCTGGTATAAACATGGTCAAGCAAACAAGAGCATGAAGGGTAAAGATGTGCTTTTTTTTTTTTTCCTTAAAATCTTTGAGTTGTTTTTTATTATTTGCAGATAAACTGTGGCCTTAGATTGTTTGCTGCAAAAAAGACAAACAAGTATAATGTGTTTCTTAGGAAGCACATGTGACCCTTCAAAGGAGGGGTGAAAACAAGATTAAATTCTGCTCTCTGACACTTGGCTTAGTGCAGAAATTGATCCTTAAAATAATTACTGTTTGCACAATAATAAGTTCAATATGCAGGGGCTTTGTTTTGATAACTGTGAAACAGTTTAAAAAAGACAAAATAAAAAAAAAAAAACACAACCATGCTGTTTAACATACAGGAACATGATTGTATTTTGTACTAATGAATGAGCCCCATGGGTTCTTTGTTAATAAAAGTGTCAAACCTACGTAGTGCTGTTCTGTTCTGGTGTCTCTAAGACAATGGCTGGAATGTCAAGAAATACCTGTATTCTACCAACTTTGAACACATCCTGATCTCCTAATTCCTCTTCTGAGCTGGGAATGTTGCCTTCGCTTGTCACTGTGTAGTCCCTTCAACTATCCCTACCCAGGAATCAGAACAAATGTATCAAAGGTGGCCTGATCCCACCTCTCCTTATTGTGTAATACACAGCTCTTAATCATGGGGATCTTACCCATAACGATGGAAATGGCAGGCTCTGTGCTCTAATTGGATTTCTCATCTCATGTATTAATCTTACAGGAGATTTTATTGTGTTTCCTTTAGACAAGATTATCTTTACTGTGTAATTCATTGATCTAAATAGATCAGAACAACCTTAAAACCACAGCACAGAAGGACTAAAGCAGAGTCCTTCCTACCATGGGGAACGTGACAAATCGTATCTACCACACAGCTCACCTAAGACATAAATGAGATGCTGAAACCTCTGTGAGGGTCCTGCCCCCAAAAGATTTGAGGAACAACAAAAGGAATGGTTGATTTTACCCTCCTGTTACCACTTTGGAGGGAGGAGAGCAAACCTCTCTTTGGGAAATCCAGGCAAAGATGCTGTTGAGGGTCAGAGTTGAAGCACTGGAGCTTGCAGAAGGGGTCATGACTCACAGGAAAATGCAAACCCTCAAATTCTGCTCTTAGAAATCTAAAACCTCTCTTATTAAATAAGCCTAAAGTCTCCTATCACTAAGTTCACAGTAGCAATTCCACTTCATCCGCTGTTAAGTTTCATAGGGGACTATTTCTCTTGGCAAACTAACTGCCTATTAAAATATATTTAGTGTTTAACCAGGTAGTAAACAATGTGCTGTGCCGTGCAGGGACAGAGCAGAGACTGCGGGCTTCTGTGCACAGCTCTGATACCTCAGATGTTTGCATGGAAACACACGAGTCACAGAGAAACAGAGATCATTGGGCTTGTTCCAAACTAGCAAAATAGCCTGTTCCATTTCTTCACCACCCAGTTTGAACAGCAAAAGGAAACATCTAACTCATTTTTTAAAATCTCTATATATCAATAAAGAAATGTTTGGAGAGCACAGTTTGCAGGCAAAAATGATCTGAAGGTAATCAATTGTTCTCCCACTCCCCCCCCAAAAAAACCTACAGCAGAAACACCTATTTTCTAGTAAAATCCCGCTGATTTTCGGCTCTCTCCTCAGGGCAGTGACTGAGCACAGGGACACAGAAACCAGCTTTCAGACGGCGGCATTTTCTAAAGCTGATTATATAATATGTTAACATCAGTAGGGATAGCACAGGCTACTGCACAGATTCTCCAAAGAACTAATTACGTCCATGATGAACCCGGTCATGCACTTTTGATATTAAAATTTTATATGTAGGGTAGACAGGGTGACAGAATCTCGTTCCAAATTATGTAGTGGTCAGAGTTTCTAAACAATCAATATGACATGATAGTACACAAAAAGCTGTCCTAGAACATTACCACACTATTAGCATTTGAGGACAACTGACTAATAACAGTAAGTCACTGACCCAAAAAGCACAGTTTTTACATTGAATGCAAAATGGCAACTCAAGTGGGACTTCACCAGAGTAGCTGCTTGTGCCAGCGACGTGCTGTGGGCCTTCTTAGTTACACAGGACAGACTCTATCTGATTAAGTACAAATGTATTACTGATAAATCTCTGAGCACCCATCCCTTCAAAAGAAAAGAGGAAATCCCTCTTAGTTTTGGCTGACATTCAACCATCTGCCTGCTGTAGGGTGGGGAGAATGTGAAACGCAAGGTGAAAGTAGGAGCAAGTGCTGGTGCTTGACAGACACCTACAAATAGATGGCCTCAAATTAGCTGAAGAATTCAGAGCAGCCCAAAACATCTTTATACAAATGCACAGGATATTTGCTGTGTCAATTGACTGCAGTTTCATATTATTTGTGGTCTCAAATGACCGTGGTCAGATTAAGGATACCTCAGTAAGTATCATATACAAATGCACAAGATATTTGCTGTGTCAATTGACTGCAGTTTCATATTATTTGTGGTCTCAAATGACCGTGGTCAGATTAAGGATACCTCAGTAAGTATCACATCAAGCCTATTTTTACTCAGGACTCAGCAACTGTGACAGCCTAACAAAAAGCATCACCCAAACATCAGCCCAGCCCTTCTGCTTTGCTTCTAGCTCTACCGAGGTGTCCCAGGCCTCTGTGGACACCCTTGCCCTGCTCTCCCCTCTCCGGCAAAACTGCTCGTTGATACTTTGCTCGTAGCACAAGAGCCAGCTGGCAGCACCCGCAGGGTCACACAGACGGGGAACGCAGCAAAAAGACATTTCTAGTCTTATTAAATTGAAGGAGAACAGAGGTCAAAAGGGAAGGCAGCCCCAGGTGTGGGATGAGTGCTGGACGAGGGGGGAAATGGGGCAGGTATGGAAAGGAGAAGCAGTCAGTGTCAGGCAGAGCACACAGACCCAGCAGCAAGTGCTCCTCCAGGAGGGGATGTCACCTGGACACCAAAACCCCCCAGACTCCTGGTACTGGCAGGACTTAGACACGGTGACACACAATGTGCACAGACAGGATGCAGACACGGAGGCTAAACCCAGCCAAATATTATTTTTGGCTATGAAAAACCCTCATTATTTTACAGCACCTTGGAACAGCATCAGCCTCCCCATCAATCAGGCGCTGGGCACAGCGAGGTGGCTCACCACTGGCTGTCACAGACAACAACAGAAGGTGATTGTGCCTGTATCTCAGTGCCCAGTTGTGTGAGATTTGTGTACACACACAAAGGCTTTTCCAAAAATGAGGAGCTGATCTTGCGTATGGATAATTACAAATTAACTTCAGTGGATCATCCTGCAACCCCACCATCACCTTCTGTCGTACACGTCAGGTCAGACCTTGCAGTGCCTGTGACAGTGACACCTCAGTTTTGGGGAACACCAACACACACTTTTCTCAACCCTGCTTAAGGGAAAACGCAAGAGTAGATGTAAGAGCTGGTGGTGGGCACTGAAGGATGGGCAACAGGGTCATATTTTGACTGCAAGGTCTTAAACAGGATCATTGCACCCCCAGAAAGATCCCAGGTGTCTGTCCAGGGCAGTCCTATTTGATGTCACATCTAGAATCAGGTTGTGTCAGTGCCAACAGATCAGAGCACAGCATAACAAGAAAGTGATTCTTATTGCTGAACTAATTAGATTAAATCAATACACAATAGAGAGCACAAGTGACAAAAAGTTAAATTTTCATTTAAATAATTTAAGCCCTGAAGTGCTTTTATCCCATGTCTTAATGTGATATGACCAATACATTAGCCTTAACGGATTAGAAAGATAATAAAATGGAAAATATTCTGCCATCTTGAGTATAAAATGAAAGCGGAAAGGGAAAAGCATGAACTGATCTGACAGATTCTCGTCCTACAGTGTCCTGGAGGAGCAGAGAAGTGTCTGAGAGGGTTTAGTGTCCCCACAGACCTATGGAGTTTTGCATGCTGTGTGCAAGGCTGGTACCACTCGCCCCAACAGCAGCGTTTCCATGTCAGCACATCTCCCCCTCCCTCTCAGATCCCAGAGCAGCTTGGCCTCACCCAGTATCTCCAGTACAGCCATCAGAAGGGAGAAAGATCAGAGAGAAAGGCTGCGATGCGAAAGGGCCCTCCCGAGCTGCAGCCAGCCCCTCTCCCAGCTCCCAGCCCTGCTGGCATCCTGCTCCAGCAAGGATGGAGCTCACAGGAGAGCGGCACGACCGGCACAACCTGCTCCTCTGACCCCATGCAGGAGTCACACGTCAGGGGCAAAGCGCCCGAGAGGTCTGTTTGCAGGAGGTGTTAAATAGAAAGGTCCCCAAGAAGGGCAGCTTCGCAGGCTTTTCCCCATGTGATCCCACCTGCCATCGCTGGGAGAGGACTTTACACTCAACCAAACAAATTAACAATTCATTTCCAACCCTGACATGGAGATTAACCCTGCCAATTAATTCCTTAATCTCTTGCTGCCAACAAGGCTCACAGTTGCCATGTGGATGCTTGTCCATTGGGGCCTGGAGCAGGGCCATTCTGTTTAATTAACGCCGCGTCCAGGATACGGTGTAGC